CTGCCAGGAGCACATGGGCAGGCCCCAGGAAGACCGACCCAGTGCGGGGGTGGGGGAGTGGGGGGAAAGGAAGAGTCAACAGATCAGACTTTCTCTATCCCAGCTTTAGGAGGCAGACAACTGGGTTTCACTCCCCCTTTTGGCTGAGTTATTTCTCTGGGACTGACTTCAGAAAGCCTCAACTTGCTCCATTTGGAAAGGCATAGGGACACTTTTTGGTTGTTGTAATGACTGGGATGCAATGGCATTTAGGAGCTGGCAGGTGTGACAGTGACAACATAGAACAGGTAGAGCATGGGGACTAACCAAACAGAATGGACTCAAGTGCCTTCTACTGTGCCAGGCATCACCCTTTAACTTGGGGTCACAGGAGATCTGGGCAGCTGGGGATGGTACTGGAGTGTGTGTTGAGATCTACTTAACTAAATACCATAAGTAATAATGATTAATGACCAATGCAGCTACTTCAAAATGAACTGGCTGATCATTTTAGGGTCAGAGATGTTAAAGATTCTATACAACAACTACTTTCAGGGTGGTGTCTGTGGCTCAAAGGAGTAGGGCACCAGCCCCAGCAAAAAAAAAAAAAAAAAAAAAAACCACTACTTTCACTGAGAAATACTAAACAGAGGATCCCTGGGAACCTTTCCCATGCTCACAAGCCCTAACAACCTGCCACAAGTGGCCAAAGGACCTCACTTGCACATGTCCCAGCGTGGCAGCTGCTCGGGGATGTGGAGGGCCTTTCTCACGTAAGGGTCATTGAGGTAGGTGGAGGCAGCTGTGGTGTTGGTGCAGGGGGGATCCATGCGCACCTTAGTCCCAGAACGCAGCAGTACCTGGAAGGCATAGGAGAGGATCAGGGTCTTTACTTCCCTGCTCCCCTCCAACCCTCCAGGAGGAAGCTCAGGCACCTTACACACCTGTTTCCATGACCGCTTGAGTGGCAGGCGAGTGAAGATGTTGCCCAAATCCTGGACCACAGCAGTGGCCTTCTCATAGCTGCAAGCAAAGTAGGGGTATAGGATTGAATCCGCAGATGGGGCTGGGGTTGGCCTAAGAGGTGCACCACAGTACCTACCTTATATGACTGGGTACTCCCCCAGCACATGGGGCATAGAGGTTGTAGATGTTGAGGCCAGAGTTGCCTACGATGTGGGACACTTCCTGAAGCTGCAACGACACACCAAGCCACCATTCTTTCTGGATCCCTGGCTTCTCCATGATCTGACCAATTTGTCCCAAGATTTACTGCTCTCATACTTCACCTCTTATCATCACTTTTCACCCATGATTTTTTTTTTTTGAGAACAAAGTCTCACTATGTTGCCCTTGGTAGAGTGCTGTAGCGTCATAGCTCACAGCAACCTCCAACTCTTGAGCTTAAGTGATTCTCTTGCCTCAGCCTCCCATGTAGCTGGGACTATAGGTGCCCCTGGCTATTTTTTGGTTTGGCAGGCCCAGGTTGGTTTGAACTCGCCAGCTCCAGTGTATGTGGCTGGTGTCCTTGCTGCTGAGCTACAGGTGCTAAGTTTTCACCTACCATTTTCACAACTAGGGAAACTGAGGCTGAGTGGAAGGAATCTTCTAGCCATGGGTCCAAATCCTCATACCACTATTTCCTAGCACTGTAACTTCAGAATTCATGGCCTCAGTTTCCTCTTCTAGAAAACATGGATAGTACACCCCCCTTGAAGGAGAATATTGAAGATCTCTTTTTTTTTTTTTTTTTTGGAGACAGAGCCCCAGCAATCTAAAACTCTTAGCCTCAAGTGATTCTCTTGCCTCAGCCTCCAAGTAGCTAGGACTACAGGTGCCTGCCACAACAGCTGGCTATTTTTAGAGACCAGCCTTCAATCTGGGCCAGGCTGGTCTCCAATCTGTGATCTCAGGCAATCCACCTGCCTCAGCCTCCCAGAGTGCTAGGATTACAGGCGAGTGTCATCTCGCCTGGCCAGAGAATACTGAAGATTAAAAATTAAAACAAACGGGGTTCAGCACAATGTCTGGTACATCCCACACATGTGACAAATATGAGGTCGTCTTTGTCCTGGAAGTCACAGCAGGTGGTGGTGATGGGAATATACACATGTGTCCCAGGGAACACCAAACTGCTGAAAGGTGCAGATAGAAAACAGTGGGGATGGGGGACAGGGAGGGGAAGTAGTCCCATTCTCAGGATTAAGAGTAGCAGGGCTGATGTAGAGTAGGGGCAAAATCTCACAGCGGTCACGCATTCTGGGTCTTTGTTGTCATAGAAGTTACATTTGTTTTGAGAGCAGCAGTGAGTCTGGAGGGAAGACCAGAGCCTATAGGAAATTGGAGTGGAAAATCTGTCAGCCCATGGTGGGCAGGAGGTGAGCACCCCACCCCCCATCATCCCACCGACTTCCCATCAGGACCTGACTCTTGGGGACTAGGAAAGATAGCATAGGGTGTTGGCAGTGCCAAACTCAGTCCCCAAGCTGCCTCAGGCCACAGAGGCAGTCCTCCTTAGTCTCTTTAATTTTTTTTGAGACAGAGTCTCACTTTGTTGCTCTTAGTAGAGTGCTGTGAGGTCACAGCTCACGGCCCTCAAACTCTTGGGCTCAAGTGATTCTCTTGCTTCAACCTCCCAAATATCTGGAACTACAGGCATCCATCACAATGTCTGGCTATTTTTAGGGAGGGGGTCCCCCTCTTGCTCAGGCTGGTCTAGAACTCCTGAACTCTGGCAATCCACCCGCCTCAGCCTCCCAGAGTACTAGGGTTACAGGTGAGAGCCACTGGCCTGGCCCCTTCTTAGTCTCTTTAAATCTTATGTCTACTTTTTGCTCTTTCAGCACCAAGCCCTTCCAGCAACCCTACTCCCCGTGTTCTGCTCATAAATCAGGGCAGGGCCTGGGGTATCATGTGCCTCCTGGACAGACTTGAGATCTCATGACCTGCCCCACCTTAGAGGTTGCCCAACTGCCCCTCTTTCATACCTATTCCCCAGAAGGCCATGGTAGTAGGCGAAATAGACCAGGGAGTTGTCATTCTGCTCATAGGAGGAGAGTCCATTGCCCACAGCGATCCCCTGTGAAACACCCAGGGTGCTCAGCTCACCTGGAGGGTGAAGAGGAGGAGCCTCCCTTGACCTACACTTAGACCTTCATCAGTGTGGTAGCTGAAACCCAGGGTGGCTTGTGGGGGTGGGTGGATGGGTAATCACTCAACATAAAGAACAGGGCTGGCAGCTTGACAGGTGAGCTTCCTGTTGTGGAAGGCATGCAGGCAGACAAAGGGCAGGGAGGTTCTGAAGGAGGCTGAGTTAAGTGAGGACAAGATCAGTCTAACCTTACTAACTGCAAGGCCAAGGCCACAAGGTACCCCCCTTCCCTCTTGCAGAAGCTTTGCACCTGGAGGTTCATGCTGGGGTCCTGCATGACCAGCACAGCCAGGGTGGGGATGTAGATGCCAGCATAGCTCTCTCCAGTCAGGAAAAGCTTGTTGTCCTTGTACTCAGGGAAGAGGCAGAAGAAATCTTTAAGGGCCTCGAAATTGCTCTGGGCGACCTGGGGAAAGCAGAACGGAGGGGATCTGAAGGTTCTGGTATTTAAGCTGGAAAGAACCTCAGAAATAATGACATCAATCCACCCCATCTGTGCAAAAGGAAGTGACTTGGCCACAACCACTCTACATAGCATGTAACAGAGCCAAAACTAGATGTCGAGGCCATTGCTCTCTTTCCCCCCATTATGCCACTTTTAGAGAACCCAGCAGCCTGGGCCAGATGGGCAGGCACCTCACCTCAGTGTCATTGGTTGCATAAGATTTGTCTTCGGAGTAGGAGAAGCCCACCCCAGCTGGGGACTCGAGGTACAACACATTGGCAATCTAGAAGGGAGGAGGAAATGAGCTAAAGAGAGTTCCCAGCACCATCCAGGTGCCAGACGCCCCCACAGGACCCACAGCCTCTGCTATACCAGGTTCCAAGAATAGGGGTTATACTCCAGGGTGACACCATCTGGCTGGATCTGAGGAGGAAAGAGATGGCCCATAAGTCCTAAGGATCAGGAAAGTGGAGGGGAAGAACCACCATACTAGGCCCTTTACTGGTGGGCGACCCTTCTGAGAGGCACAGGTGGTCAAGTCAATGGGATAGATGAACAAACAGGCTCAGGAGGAAGAAAACATTTTCAGGAAATCAGTTCTCGTATCCCTTTCAAATCTGTCCCTTCCCTCTCTATTTCCTGGGTCATGTGGAAGGAAAGGGCTGCTGTCCACTCACCAGGAAGGGGCCGTGCTCGGTGAGCAACCCATCCAAGGAGCTGCAGCCGGGACCCCCATTGAGCCAAAGCACCACAGGACTGTGCTCAGGATCCTTCTGGGACTCCACAAACCTGGGAGCGGGATCAGGGCAGTGTTGGCACCAGTGAAGAGGCACCTTTTAGTCTTGCCAGCCCCCAGGCACCTGCAGGGGACTTCAGAACACCTCCCACCCCCGCCATTGCCCCCAGGGGGCTTCGCAGTGCTCCCTCCCAACTCCGCCCGGGGCGCCAGACCAGTAGTGGAGGCGCTTGGAGCCGGAGCCTTTGAGGTGGCCGGAGAATTGGCGGAAAGAAGGCTGCTTGGTCAATCCAGGGAGGAACTGGATCTCGTCCTGGGCAGGGGCAGCCTCGCCTCGGGGCGCCCAGGATCCGAGCAGCAGGAACAGCGGCAACAGCGCGGCTGGGACCATCTGCGGGAAGCAGCAGCGGGTTCGGCGGTTTACTTGCTTCTCAGCTCTTGGGTGCAGCCGCCCCTGGGAGGAGCTGGCGGCGCAGAGGCGCGGGGAGCCCCCTCCAGGCCCAGCTGCCACCCGCTGAGCCTCCTCCGCTGCGCGCAGACCCAGGGCTCAGGGATCCCTTCCAGCCTCCGAATCCTCTCACCTCGGTTCCCCGCGTCCTCGCTCTCCAGTAGGTGCCCAGGGACTGGAAGTCATGTGTACTCTGAGTCACGTGGGCTCTGGCGTCACATGACAGTCCCCTTTCGGGCCCCTCTTTGGTTCCCGCGGGCCTGGTAGTGCGGTGCGGTCAATGCCGGGTCAAGGTCTGAGGCCTCGCAGGTCATAGCCCAGGCTCCCGCGATCCTGTTGTAGGCTGCCAAGTTCCCCAGCCTCGCTGAGTTCTAGGCGGGAAGGCTGAGCAAGCGGCACTAGGACCCCTGGACAGAGCCTTGGGGAAGGGAGTCGGGGTGGGAGAAATGCCTTACAAGGTCCCCTGGTGGTCACTGTCTGAGCCCGCAGCCCAAAATAGCTCCTGGCACTTGCTGGCCAGCCTCATGGCCGGGAGATGGCTGCTCCCTCTGACCCTGTGGGGCTAGGTGCACCCCGGGGGCCTGCACTTTCAGAACCCCCTCCGACCCGCTTCCACCGCGTGCACGGTGCCAACATCCGCGTGGACTCCACTGGGACACGGGCCACACGCGTGGAGAGCTTCGCCCACGGCTTGTGCTTCAGTAGCGAGCCTCTGGCCCCGGGTCAGTTATTCCTGGTCGAGATCGAGGAGAAAGAGCTAGGCTGGTGCGGTCATCTGCGCCTCGGTCTGACTGCGCTGGACCCCGCCAGTCTGGCCGCCGTGCCAGAGTTTTCGCTACCCGACCTGGCCAGCCTAGGCCACACCTGGGTCTTTGCTATCACGCGCCACCACAACCGTGTACCCCAGGAGGGCCATCCGGAGACAGAGGCAGCGGTCCCCAGCCGGCCCCCGGCCCTGATGGTGGAACCGTATCTGTGCATTGAGCAGTTTCGCATTCCCCGGGATCGCCTGGTGGGCCGCAGCCGCCCAGGGCTCTACAGCCACCTCTTGGACCAGCTCTATGAGCTGAACGTGCTGCCTCCGACCGCGCGCCGTAGCCGCCTGGGAGTCCTCTTCTGTCCACGCCCGGATGGCACTGCCGACATGCACATCGTCATCAACGGCGAGGACATGGGCCCAAGTGCAAAGGGGCTGCCAGCTGCTCAGCCCCTCTACGCAGTGGTGGACGTATTTGCCTCCACCAAGAGCGTGCGCCTGGTCCAGCTTGAGTATGGATGTAGGTATCTCGCTCCGTGGGCAGTGACCCCTCCTGGTCCACTGTGGGGACAGGAATCTACTAGGACTCCCTGGACAGCTAGCTAGGCCTTGTCTGTCCTGCACTATTTTAAAAGTGTGAATATCTGGCTTAAAATACATCTCTGTATGTGATCTTGCACAAGTCACTACCTGGCTCTGGGTCTGAGCATAGCCACCTTGTTAAGATGCCCTTACAATTTCTCCCTTTTCATTCCTAGGGCAGGGATTCTTTTTCTTTTTTTCCATAAAGGTGCCAAGATGATTCTGTGGGAAAAGGCCAGCTTTTAATATTTATTTATTTATAGAGACAGAGTCTCACTATGTCCCCCTCCGCAGAGTACGGTGGTGTCATGCTCACAGCAACCTCAAACTCTTGGGCTTACCTGATTCCCTTGCCTTAGACTCCCAAGTAGTTGGGACTATAGGTGCCCAGCACAATGCCTGGCTAGTTTTTAGATATAGGGTCTCTCTCTTGCTCAGGCTGATCTAGAACTCCTGAGCTCAGGCAATCCCTCCCCCTAGGCCTCCCAGAGTGCTAGGATTATAGGAGGCATGAGTCATTGCCCCCAGCCAGAGCAGGGATTCTAAATTAAGGTGTTTTTTGTTTGTTTGTTTTGTTCTGAGACAGTCTTACTTTGTCCCTCTTGGGCTCAAATGATCCTCTTACCTCAGACTCCCAAGTCGTTGGGACTACAGGTGCCTGTCACAATGCCTGGCTATTTTTTAGAGACAATGTCTTGCTGTAGCTCAGGCTGGACTCAAATTCCTGAGCTCATGACTCAGTGCCTGTGGCTCAAGCAGCTAAGGCACCAGCCACATACACCTGAGCTGGCGGGTTCGAATCCAGCCCGGGCCGCCAAACGACAATGACGGCTGCAACCAAAAAATAGCTGGGCATTATGGCGGGCGCGTGTGGTCCCAGCTACTTGGGAGGCTGAGGCAGGAGACTTGCTTGAGCTCAGGAGTTGGAGGTTGCTGTGAGCTGTGATGCCATGGCACTCTACCCAGGGGGACAGCTTGAGGCTCTGTCTCAAAAAAAAAAAATCCTGAGCTCAAGCAGTCCACCCAGCCTTGGTGTCCCAGAGTGCTAGGATTACAGGCGTGAGCCACCATGTCTGGCCCTAAATTAAGTTTAGATCTGGCCTCTTTGAGAATGGTGTACTCTTTTTATTAGAAAAATGCTTATAGGGTGGCGCCTGTGGCTCAGTGAGTAGGGCGCTGGTCCTATATACCAAGGGTGGCAGGTTCAAGCCTGGCCAAACTACAACAACAACAACAAAATAGCTGGGCGTTGTGGTGGGCACCTGTAGTCCCAGCTAATTGGGAGGCTGAGGCAAGAGAATCACCTAAGCCCAAGAGCTGGAGGTTGCTGTGAGCTGTGATGCCATTGCACTCTACCGAGGGCGACAAAATGAAACTCTATCTCTAAAAGAAAAAAAAAAAGAAAGAAAGAAAGAAAGAAAAGAAAAGGAAAATGCTTATAAGGCCAGGTAAGGTGCTGTGACTCACACCTGTAATCCTAGCACTCTGGGAGGCTGAGGTGGGTGGATTGCCTGAGCTCACAGTTTCAAGACCAACCTGAGCTAGAGGGAGAACCCCTTATCTCTAAAAAAATAGCCAGGTGCTGTGGCGGGTGCCTATAGTCCCAGCTATTTGGGAGGCTGAGGCAAGAGAATCACTTGAGCCTAAGAGTATGAGGTTGCTGGGAGCTATGACGCCTTAGCACTCTACTGAGGGCAACATAGTGAGACTCTGTCTCAAAAAAAAAAAAGAAAGAAAAATGCTAATAGATTTGGGGACATTGGTTTAGATGCATTATAGACCTCAGACTGAGAGCTTCTTAACCCTGAGGTTTGTTTCCTTATAGCCCTTTAAGCATTTTATTTATAACTTTGCTCATGTTTCTCAGATTCAGTGAACTGGAGCCCACCTTGCCGAGTCTGTGCTGGAGGCTGTGGTTGCACAGGCAAATCAGGCACTACCCTGCCCCCAGAAGCTAAATGAAGGGGGAAGGGACTATGCTGAGTGCTAGGATTGGAACAAGGCTGAGGCATTGTAATAGTTTTCAGGAAGAGGTGCTTCTTTCTTTCTTTTTTTTTTTTTGAGATGGAGCCTCAAGCTATCCCCCTGGGTAGAGTGCCATGGCATCACGCTCACAGCAACCTCCAACTCCTGGGCTCAAGCGAGTCTCCTGCCTCAGCCTCCCAAGTAGCTGGGACTACAGGCGCCCGCCACAACGCCTGGCCATTTTTTGGTTGCAGCCGTCATTGTTATTTGGCAGGCCCGGGCTGGGGATTCGAACCTGCCACCTTAGGTGTATGTGGCTGGCGCCTTAGCCGCTTGAGCCATAGGCGCTGAGCCAGAGGTGCTTATTTCAGCCACATAAACAGCCCCATGAAGCATGCTGGGGCCCAGAGGCAAAAAGGACTTCTCTAGGTTAATGGCAAAGTAGAGGCCAAGATCTAGATCTTCTGGGTCTTGGTCTCAGACCCACCCTTCAGTTTTGTTTGCCTTTGACAACCCTTCTTCCCACAGTGCCATCCCTGCAGACTCTGTGCCGCCTAGTGATCCAGAGGAGCGTGGTGCACCGCCTGGCCATTGATGGGCTCCACCTGCCCAAAGGACTTAAGGATTTCTGCAAGTATGAGTGAAGGTCTGCAGTCCCCTGAAGCAGGACCATAGGAATGCATCCTGGCCCCAGAGCTGGGGCTGGTCTGAAACTGGCCACACTGCTGCCAGGCAGGACCAGAAATAAACACAGCTAATGTTAACACACTGGAGGGTCTCCTTGTCCCTACAGCCTGTGAGAGGCATTTCTTTTAGAATCACTCTGGGTGAGCAGGTCAGAGCAAGAGAGAGTATTTTATTTTATTTATTTTATTATTTTTCATTTATTTATTTATTTAGAGACAGAGTTTCACTATGTTGCCCTTGGTAGAGTGCTGTGGCATCACAGCTCATAGCAACCTCCAGCTCTTGGGCTTGGGTGATTCTCTAGCCTCAGCCTCCCAAGTAGCTGGAACTACAGGCGTCTGCCACAATGCTCAGCTATTTTTTTGTTGTTGTTGCAGTTTGGCCAGGGCTGGGTTTGAACCTACCACCCATGGTATATGGGGCCAGTGCCCTACTCACTGAGCCACAGGCACCACCCTATTTTATTTTTTTGAGACAGTCTCATTTTGTCACCCTTGGTAGAGTGCTGTGTCATCATAGCTCACAGCAACCTCAAATCTTAGGCCCAAGTGATTCTCTTGCCTCAGCCTCTGGAATAGCTGGGATTATAGGTGCCTGCCTCAGACTCCCAGAGTGCTAGGATTACGGGTGTGAGCCACCATGTCTGGCTGAGAGAGCATTTTAGACATCATCTACCAGGGGTTCTTAGTCTGGCTACTTGTTAAGCATCACTGGGATGCAGAATGTTGATGTCCCACACCCCATCTCTAGAGATTCTCATTTGATTTGTTGGAGATGAAAGGCCTAGACCTTGTTTTTTGTAAAAGTTTCCCTAGAGACTGTAATGTACAACCAGAGTTGAGAAGCATTTTCCTAAAAGAGATTCTAACTTCGGTACATATTATAATCACTCCAGGAACTTTGAAAAAGATTGCTATCTGGGCCTGACCCTAGGACACACACTACCCAGGCATGAAGCATTCGCCTCCTTTATTTCCATTTTTGATCATTTACTTCCTTACAAGTGATCTCATTTCATCCTTGTGACTCTTATTGAGGTAATAGGTAGTTACTCTCACTTTACAGATAAAGAGATCAGGAACAAAACTGTCCAGGTGACTTCCCCAAGGTAAGGACACAAGAACCTAGAACACCCAGGTTCTGGTCCAGGGCTCTTTTAACTCCATCCTATTGTCATGTATGGATTCTAGAATGAACAGGTCAATGCTGTGAGGTGGGTTCCAGGTGTAAAGGGGAGGAATTATGAGGTGACATTCCAGAAGGGTAGAGAAGAGAGGACAGGAGGCAGATGACTATTCCCTCACAAACAGGAGCTTTGGGCCAGCCATGTCCTACTTCTTGTCTCCACAGACTCATCACGGTCTTCTGCCTTCTGGTCAAGGTGAGGGGGGGAGGGCACCGCAACTTCCCTTGAGAATTTGCTTTCTTGCTCTGGGGAGGTGGAGGTTCTGCTGGGCATTGGGGGGCTGGCCCAGGGTTAATTCTCTTAGAAGAAAAGCCATCCCAAAGGTCCTTGCCAATGAATAAATACCCACTTGCTCACTCATTCATTCAACAAGCATTTCACCAATCACCTCCTCAGTGTTGGGGACTGGAGTATGGCTATGAGTAACGCCTCATTCCCAATCTCTACACAGTCCTCTTGGGCTGGTCTTAATTGCTTCTGCTCCCAAGCTCTGCTCCTGTGCCCTGCCCCTCAGGGCCTACTCCTGATGGAGACCAAGAATAACATTCCATCTCATTCTTGTCTCTGCAGGTGGGGCTGCTTCTCCAGGCTCATCCCTTGGCCTCTACAGTCCTGTAGAGCCAGTGGTGGTGGCCTCTGGTGGACTAGGCCAGAAAGCTGAGCAGGTGGCACCTGTTGCCCAGGCCTGGGGCCCAGCCCTGACAATGCCAGAAGCCAGGGGCTGCCCTGGGGGGGCTAGCTGGGAGACACTGCGGAGAAAGGAGTACAGCCGATACTGCCACAAATTCCCCCACGTGAGGCAGCCAGAGAGCATGGGCTGGGAGGATGGCTGCTCCAGAAACAGAGCTCCCCACCTGGGTGGCCCCAGCAGGCCTGGGCCCCTGCTGCTGTGTGGGCTGTCACCGGGAGTTCTGCCAATGCCCTCTGAAGCAGGAGGGAAGGAGGCTGGCTCCCAGCCCGACATCTGCATCCTTACCCTGGCTATGATGATCGCTGGCATCCCCACCGTGCCCGTCCCAGGCCTGCGGGAAGAGGACCTGATCCGGGCTGCTCAAGCTTTCATGACCGCCCATCCGGAGCCAGAGGGAGCTGTGGAGGGCGCCCGGTGGGAGCAGGCACACCCTCACGCAGCCTCTGGGCAGATGCCCCTAGTGAGATCCAGGAGGGGCCAGCCTCCTGGCTCCTGCTTGTAGCTGGATGAAATAGCACCGGACACATAGGGTGGCTTTTCCGTATGGTTCTTGGGCAGACAGGGTTGGGAGCGCCTATGGCAAGGACAACAATAGGGTGGATGGTTGAGCCATTTTGACAAATTTCAGTCCTTCATTAGGGACTTCCAGACCCTAGGAAGTTTTTCCAGATACCACTAAGACAGGAGATAGGTCTCATCAGAGAGATAGGAGGTGGAGGCCTTGTTTGGAGTCAAGGCTGCTTTTATATTGTTCTAAGGACTTGATCAAATTTTTTTTCTTTGAGATAGTCTCAATATGTCACCCTTGGTAGAGTGCTGTGATGTCACAGCTCACAGTGACCTCAAACTCTTGAGCTTAAGCGATTCTCTTGCCTCAGTCTCCCGGAGTACTTGATCAAAATTTCTTGTACAACCTCCTAGGCTATGTGAATTCCCCTCTTGCCTGAAATTTCCCAGCATGTTGGAGGCAGGTCATAGGACTGTTAAGCAAGCAAGGAAAATTAATACTTAGTTGAATACTCACTAGGTGTGTCTTACTGACCCTGTGGGAAGCCCCATTTATATAGTCAAATCAAACTGAAGCTTAAGAGAGGAGATGTGGCCAGTCCTATAGCTAGTAAAAGGCAGAACCAGGGCAGTGCCTGTGGCTCAGTGAGTAGGGTGCCGCCCCATATATCAAGGGTGGTGGGTTCAAACCCAGCCCCAGCCAAACTGCAACAAAAAAAATAGCTGAGTGTTGTGGCCGGCGCCTGTAGTCCCAGCTACTCGGGAGGCTGAGATAAGAATCACCTAAGCCTAGGAGTTAGAGGTTGCTGTGAGCTGTGACACCACAGCACTCTAGGCAGGGTGACAAAGTAAGACTCTGTCTCTAAAAAATAATAATAATAAAATAAAAGGCAGAACCAGGCTCAAAAGTCAGGAGCGGAAGGAACCAGGATTCATGTGCAGTGTCATACTCCAAAACTGCCCTCCACAGAACAAAAAAGCTAGACAAGTACTGGACTGTGTAACATTCAAGTTTATTGACTCCAGGATGGGGGAGGGGGGAAATTGCTGGAAGCCTGGCTGAACCAACTCCGGAGAGGGTCCTCTTCCTTTGCAGGAAAGCTCCCAGGCCAGCTTCCTCAAGGAAGATGGGTCAGGTGAGTCATCTTATGACTGAGGCAGCTGTCGCCAAGCCCCAGCTCTCAATCTCACCACCCAATCTCTTATCTTAGACCAGGAATTGCTTGGTTAGGCCCCATTTACAGAAAAGATTTGCTGATTTCTGTCTTAGGGAGCTAGGTACCTTCTAGGTAGCAGGCTATGGTAGATTAGAAGACCCTTGGTCCTTATTCTGGAAAGAGGACCCACAGAAATACGCTAGTGTGAGTGTGTAAGGGTGGATGTGAGTGTGTACACATGCATGCACACCTCTGGGAGTATGCTTACTCTGAGTAAGTAATCAGAGTTGGACCTGCTCATAAGGGCCAATCCAGCTGTCGGCTAGTTCCCGCAGGGTACTGTACCTCCGCTCAAACTCCTCCTTGCTGCAGTACTGCAAGAGCCGACCCACCTCCTCAGTGAGGTGAGTCACTGCCAAGTGCTTGTCTAGAGTCTCATTCCACTTGCTGCCCAAGATGTTGTCTAAACCGGTGGCACAGCCTGTCGCCCATTGATCAGGCAACATGTCGGGCTGGAGCACCTGGTGGCGGGCACTGAGCATGGCTAGGATGTGGCGGCAGGGCAGGTGGAAGGCTTGGTTAAAGTAGCAGCTGCAGCTGGCCGGGGGCTGGGGCTGCACCTTGTGAGTGTCTTCCAAGATCTGTATATTCATCTTTTCTGAGCCAGAGCCGATGAGATGTGTGGATTTCTGGACCACAGCAAACTCGCCCAGGCAGAGCTGGGCTGCTGGCGCTGTGCAGATGGCATTGAGGGAGTGCTGGATGAGGGATTCTACCAACTGCTCCATTTCGGGGCTCTCAGGGCTGGTGTCTGAAGGGGTAAGACTGTCCTGGGGATTCAGGCCCACGTTAAAGCTTCCCTTGTCTCCAGAGTTCTGCTGCATGTATCGGAACAGAGAGGCCAAGCCTTGTTTCTCAGATGGGGTGGTGCCAAAGAATTGGCTGAGGATGCGGGTGGTGACTTCGAGGCTGTGGAAGTAGTGGCTGCTCTCGGTTTGGCTTCTCCAGCGGTGGGCCAGCCAGATGCGGTCGTTGAGCAGGCAGTGTGCATGGAGCTCAGGCAGCTTAGCCGGGGGGATGCAGTTGCTCATGAGTGCATGCAGCTTTCTCAGGTTGCCTGCTGTGGCTGAGCACATCGTGCTCTGCAGTGAAGTCAGGAGCACCCTTTCCACAGGCTGTTCAAGAGATAGTTGATAGAACTTGCCCTGGAGGAACTTACAAATGTGGAAGGCTGAGAGCAGAACCTCAGCTGTGGGGAACTCCATGGCTAGGGTTGGCAGGGGTAGAAAGTAGGGATCCACGAGGATAGTACAGACTCTTTCCCATGCTGGGTTAAATTTCTTGAACACCTGGAACATCTGGGCCAGGCCTTCAGCATCCTCCTTGGTAGGGATGGCAAAGTAGACTGCCCGGGCAAGATGACCCTCTAGCTGTACCCGAGGTCCATCCACCAGGAAGGTATATAACACCTTTCCCCTTGGGTTATAGGTCCGGTGAATAAATAAGATCTCAGGGAAACGGGCAAAGACACCCTGCATAAAGCAGCTCTGGAAGTTGAAGGTATCTAACTGGGCAGTCTTGGTAACCTGATGCAGCAGCACAGGTGGGCTTGAGTTCTTAATCAGAAGCCCATTCATCATTGTCAGGGACATGGGGGAGATGGAAGATGGCTAAATGCTGAGATCAAAATGCTGAGGCTGCTGTCCAGGAGGCTTTGTGTCTCTCAAACTTCAAGTAAGCTGAGGCCTGAGGCTGTAGTTCCCAGATGTTTTCCCAAAGATGGGCCTGTGGAGAGAGGAGCAGAGGCTTAAAAGGACAGTAGGGACTTGCCTCTTTATTCATCCAGATAATACTTGTTGAACACTTATTATGTGTCAGCACCATTTTAGGGAGGGATAAACACTAAACATGTAAACAAATAAGCAAGGATATATTAGATCACAAAGGTATAAAGACCACAAAACTGAGTAGTCAGAGAGCAAATTGGGGAAGGGAGGGACATTGTAGTTAAGATGATAAAGAATGCCTTGCCTCTCTGGGTGGGGGGAGGATGAAGTCGGAGCTGAGACCTAAATGAGCCAGCCATGGAAGATACAGTTCCAGGGGATTTAAGTAGGTGTAAAGGTTAGAGCTGCATATGGCCTATTTTCTAAGATTGCATCCTAAAATGTGTAAAGTACTTTATATTTACAAATTACTTGATGGCATCCATTTTGTCCTTTGGTCCTGGTGTACATAAGAGAACTGCAATTGCCCCAAACTTGCTATGTGATCTTGGGCAAGTCAGTGACCTTCTCTGAGCCTCAATTCTTTCCACCATAAAATGGGGCTAACAAACGTGCATAGTTTCTCCTGCCTCTACTGATATCCCTCTACTAACTGCAACGCTCTATTCCAAAGTTTCCTCTCTGTTTGGCCCTTCACGGGGCTATTATGCCCATTTTACAGGTCAGAAACTAAGGCTCAAAGAAGTTAAGCGACTTGCCTACCATTACCCTGCAAGTAGCTGGAAGCTGAATTTTGGGCTCGGGATCCTGACCGCTTCTCACACGTGGAATCCATAAACCAGGATCAGATAAGGAATATGGCCTTTGACCTCTCACTTTTAACCAGGGTGGGAGATGTGCCATGCCCGTTCATAGTACTAGTACGGCTGAAGCCAGATGAGAAGTTACCCTCCCACCCCTTTGGAAGCTGTGTAATAGCTTACCGCAGTGATCAGCTGCTTCACACCTCCACCCCTTCAGAAATCACCCACAGCCTGGCTCCGTCGCCATTTCTCCCTATTTGACCCTGCCGACTCTGAGTGACTTCCAGATTTGCCAACCACAGCGTCAGCCTCGCTGTGACACAGACCAATGGCCTGAGGAGTTCGCGTTCAGTCTTTAGTCTACAGACCAATCATGGTCTGACGATTTGTGGGCGGGTAGTGTTGCCAGGGTTACGAGGGGCTCGGCTGACGATAACCAATCAAAGCCCGAGGACACTTGCATCTGAGCCCGGAGGCTGGAACTCTGAGCCTCCCTTCAGGCTAGACAACAGGAAGGGCACGTTATTATGGAAACTCCCTCAAAGGCCGAAAATGAAAAGGAAAATAAATAGCAATATTTTACAGAAATCAGCTTTTTTTTTTTTGCGAATGTGTCAAACTCCACAGCCACTGGGGGTTGGGAGAGGGTGTAATTGTACTGTGCATTCCACCTTGAGGAGAAATGGAGGCCCTGGCCTCAAGTTTTGCCTCTCCTTAAAGGGTTGGTAGCTGGGGAATTTCAGATAACCTTGAGCAAGCCAAATCTTGCTGGTCTAGCCCAATTCCCTTCAAAACTTTACAAGTCAAATAGGTGCAGAATGGTGCTGTGATTTGTTTAAGGTCCTGGTGAACTACCTGTTGTGTAAGAGTGGATTGGCTGCCATCTTTTGTCCTCAGTTTCCCTGAAGATGGCAGACCTAGAAGCTGAGTAGCTATCAGGCTTTAGATAAGTAAGATTACCAAGTAGCAGCCTGTAATCTTAGCATTCTAGGAAGCTGAGGTGGGAGGATCTCTTTGAGAGGATACCTGGGAAGGGTGAATTTTAGAACAGACATCTTCTCAAAGAGACCCCAAGGATACACCTGCAGGGTCCTCTCCATGGTGACTCAGCTCTTAGGAATTTATAGACTTAACTTTCTGGGACCTGGAAATTTCTGCTTCTGTGAAATCCTGTAGATCTGTAGAGGCTGGAACAGCTTCTCCTGCTTGATTCAAACTGACCAATGAGAAAGGTATCCCTGGGTTGGAACTTTTTGACTGGACATAAAAAGGAAAGAACAAACCAGGCCAGGAGGCCTGGCCATTTTGAATCTTCTATGCCTTTTGTTCTGCTGGCTGAAATAAAGTTCTTCCTCATAAACATGGTGTTTGGGTGCTCTTCTCTCCATTGGGCCTTGTCTTCCTGCAATACCTTGAGCTCAGGAGTCTGAGACCAGCCTGAGCACGACCTTGTCTCTACTAAGTAGAAAAATTAGCTGGGCATTGTGGCGGGCATCTGTAGTCCCAGATAGTTGGGAGGCTGAGGCAGGAGAATCCCTTGAGCCCAGGAGTTTGAGTTATAGGGAACTGTGACCGTGCCATTATACTCCAGTCTGGGTGACAGTGATACCTTCACTCAAAAATTAATCAATCCACACTAGAGTGCCCATTTCCTGACAGTGAAGTCAGAGGTCTGCTCTACAATTCCTCTTCCTTCCCAGATCAAGCAAAACACACTTCCCCTGCTTATTTGATTTTATTTAAAAAATGAAACATATTTATTTAAAAAAATGAAACACAACTTTATTTAATATAAATAAAAATAGTAACAAATAACAGACTTTTCATAAACAGCAGCAACAGCCAAAGATCACCCTCCTCCTTCTCTCTGTCCCTGAAAACATGCCCTTTTACCAGACCCATTGTGTATCACCCTATCCTGGGGCAGGGGTTCATCTTTGTAAGGTGAATAAGATCTGATCTTAGAGGTTGGTGGAGACAGATGGGTGACCTTTCAGCATGGAGATAACTTTGGCCTTGAACATTGAATGAGGGTCCCAAGGAATCCAAAGGTAGGATCGAAAGGACTGTTACACAGTGGGGTTCTTTCTCCCCCTATTGTAAGAGTCTTCCCAGCCCTACCTAGGAAGGGAATAGCTAAAATGCTGAACCCTAGCCTGTCCTGCCCACTTTGAACTCTCAAACTTCTAAGAAGAGGGATTTTTGGTCCCATGTATTATTGCGTCCTGAATCAAGGCTGCAGCAGAAGGAAGTCCTTCCCCTTCCTCTTGCTTTCCCCAGAGGAAAGGGAGGCAGCCCACGTCCTTGAAATCTCCTGGCTGCTGATTGGACTCAGGTGGCTGACATGGGTTAGCCCAGATGTCCACAATCTTGCGCAGGGTGGAATAGCGTTCTTCCAGCTCTGGCCCCTCAGTCTGCATTAGCAGGTTTGCCAGCTCCCTGCTTAGGTCCTGAATCATGTTGTTTCGTCCCTCCCTCTCAGGCTGGCTTGTGTCTGGGACCACACTATGGTCCTGCAACTCTCCACTGGGCCCAAGGAGGTGCTGGTACTTCTTCTGCCACCTGCGACACACCATGGCTTCATCAACCGGCTGCTGGCTGGTGTGCAGCAGGGCCAAAATGTGCCGGCATGGCAGGCGGTACCATTGCTGAAAGTAACAGCTGCAGCTACAGCCATCTTTGCTAACCTGGTGGGAGTCCTCTAGCAGCTGCACGTCCACTGACGAGCCAGCCATTTCCACCAGGTGGGTGGAGTTCTGTACCACCTCCCACTCATTGTGGCACAGCTTATAAGCTAGTTCAGAGCCAGTCTGGTGCAAGGTGTCTAACATGCCAGCCTGGGGGGGCTGCACCTGTGGCTGCTGCTCCAGCTGCACCTGCTGTGAGTTCGGTTTTGTCTCTTCCACAGGGACTCTGGTGAGGGTCCCCCCACAGATTCCAAAAGCTTTCTTAGACTTTGGTCCCATGCTTGCTGGCCGAGCTCTCTTTAACTTGGGAGGAGCTGTGGGCAAGTTCTTCAAGCCTTTGATATTAAAGAAGTCAATGTAATCTACAAAGCAGAGGATGCAGTCCAGCAGGGATTGCTGTTTCCGGAACAGGCTTGACACCTTGCTGGTGACAATATCTAGGCTGTCCATGTAGGTGTTACACGCATGCAGGCCCTTCCTGACATGCATGTACCACAGCAGTTCACAGGTGAACCAGTGGGTCTGTAGGAAGTTGAAGAGATCCTCATCTAGTAGGGCCTGGGACATCTGACAGAGATTTTTCAAGCTGGCATCAGAAGTGATAAACACAGCCTCCCGCAGGGCTTCCTTCATGAGCCTTTTAAAAGATGGATTTGCCGAACTACGATGCAACTTCTTCTCCAAGAGGCGGGTGGTGTGGTAGATGGAAAGGAGGATGCGGGCAGCAGGGAAGATCTCCTGCAGGATGGCCCGGTGAGGGAATGAAGGGTCCACAAAGACCACCTTGACCTTGGGCCAATCAGAGTTGAACTCAGTGAAGATGCTTAGCATCTTGGCCACGGAGGTGGCTGTCTCCGCCTTGAGCACAGCAAAGTGTACCACTCGACCTTCCCGTTCCTTGTTCTCCACCAAGAAAGCATAGAGGACGTGGCCCTGGGCATTCTCCACCCGGTGTAGCAAGAGATTCTCTGGGAAGCGGATGAACAGGTCACTCATTTTGCTGCTCTGGAAGCTGAGGCGGTCCAGGTCTTGGCTGTCACCCACACTGAAGGAAGCCATGGAACCCTCGTCTACCTTAAGAAAGTTCTTCATCACATTTGCTATCTTGGCCAGGTCAGAAGGAGTGATGCCTTCCTGCTCTGGCTTCGAGGGCACTTGTACATTCTCTAGGCAGAACAGCGTTTCGACAGGGGACTTTCCAGTGTCAAGGTCTTTAATGATTGTGGGTTGGACAGGCTGGAGTTTCTGTAGGCACATTTTCTTTTGAGATTTGCCAGCAGTGTCTCCTCCAGCACCAGCGGTTTTGGAGTTACCATGCATATGCTGGGTGTTTAGTTCACTGATGAACAGTCTATCTAACCTCTCGTTGTACCTGAGGAGCACATACGCTGGGCACACGTCCGCCTCCCGTGTTCTCTTCCTATTTGACTGGGTCCGGATACAGACAAACTTCACCTGCACATATCTAGGGAAGGTAGAAATGACAATAAGAAAGGTGCTGACCACTTCCTCCATAAAGATAAAATCCTGTAGGGATTTATATTGGCTAAGAAACAACAATGTAGTATAGAGTTAAGGATGGAAGATTTGTATCCTCTTTCTGATCCCAGAGTATCCTGCTTTTTCAAGACCCTCTCCAAATACAGCCCTCTCGTGTTCCTCTACAGCAATTCTTAGCCCCAACTCCTTTCATTCTCTCCGTTGCCGTCTGTTGCTGCCAACAATTCAATCTGGGGCAGGATACAAGAGAAATCAGACAAGAGGCAGCAGCAGAGAGAGAGTTGGTTACCCTCTGTTTAAAACGTCCCTGTCTTGCGCCTGTAATCCTAGCACTCTGGGAGGCCAAAGTGGGTGGATTGCCTGAGCTCAGGAGTTTGAGACCAGCTTGAGCAAGAGCAAGACCCCGTCTCTACTAAAAATAGAAAAATTAGCCAGGCATTTGGCAGGCGCCTGTAGTCCCAGCTACTTGGGAGGCTGAGGCAAGAGGATCACTTGAGCCCAAGAGTTTGGGGTTGCTGTGAGCTATGATGCCATGGCCTTCTGTGGAAGGCAATACAGTGAAACTCTGTCTCAAAAAAAAGAAAGTCCGGGTCACTCCTGTCCTTTGGAAGCTACTCCCTTTTCTTCCTCCTCCAGAGGTGGAAAGCAAGGTTGAAAGCAAGGCTGGAGTATACTGGGCTGGATCAGTGGTTCTCAGCTGAGCTCTCAGGGTCCTCCAGGATTAGAGAGCATTTGGAGAGAATTCAGTTTTCTTTCTTTCTTTTATTTTATATTTTGAGACAGAATCTCACTCTATTGCCTTGGGTAGAGTGCCATGGTGTCATAGCTCAAAGCAAACTCAAAGTCTTGGGCTCAAGCGATCCCCTTGCCTCAGCCTCCCAAATAGCTGGGACTACAGGTGCCCACCACCACACCCAGTTTGTGGTTCTATTTTTAATAGAGATGGGGTCTCACTCTTGCTCAGGCTGGTCTGGAACTCCTGAGCTCAAGTAATCCACTCACCTCAGCCCCCAGAGTGCTAGGATTACAGGCTTTAGATACCCATGTTTGCTAAACATGGGGCTAGATAATCTTTAAGGTCCTTACTAGTTTCTAAGCTGAAAATAAAGATTCAAACAAAGAGGAATAATTAAATTGAATATTTCTTCATTTTCTTTTCCCACCCCTATTCAACCCATGCTTCAAGCCCCAAATCAGGTCTCACCTTCTCTGGAAATCTTTTGTGGATGCTTAATAAAAGCCACAGTGATTATTCTTTTCTTTTTTGAGACAGTCTCACTATGTCACCCCTTGGTAGAGTGCAGTTGGTGTCATAGCTCACAGTAACCTCAAACTTTTTTTTTTTTTT